AATGGCTTTCGTTCAGCCCAAGTGCTGCAAGGCTGAGGTATCGTGCTCCACATGGAGCGGAGGCCCTGCAGCCTTTCAGTCCCGGGTTACAGCCCAGGGTTAGTACAGCCCAGCTACACAAAATTACCACATGAAACCAGCTTCCTTTCATAGCTTGCTCTTTCAGACGTGCAATAAAGAGCTCTGTGTAGCTTCTCTGAATTAATATGGGGCAAGGCTCAAGATTCTTAAGCAGCTTTAGCTGGCTTTTACTTTGGGAAAACTTCCCACTGAACTTCTGAGTAAGGACACAAGAATTTGTCCAGAGTAACCATTTTCAGCATGAAAGGAACGCTTACTATGTTATTCCCATCTGGCTTTCCTAGAATATCTCATCTGCTATTCCCTTCACACGCCTCTGTGAAAAGGACCCTGTAGGATGAAGTCATCTTGAAGTGCTTTTTTTGTCCTAAAAATCTGCATATTCTTACTATGGTTACTTTGATCAGGGTAAACACGCCTGCGCTCCTGGTCTGGGCATTCCTCCCACACTTTCAATGCAGATTCTCTGCTTCGCCGTCCTCTCACCCAGAGAGAAGGAATGACCCCTCCACTTCTCTTCCTACCCTAGACAAAAGCCAGACAGCTTAAGATGCAAAACATTGGCAGATTTACAAGCCTCATCTCTGCTGTGACCCCTGCAAGCCTTGCATGCTGATGAGGATGAAGAAGGTGTAAATTCTTACTGTCCACCCTCATTTTCTTCCCCTATTGCCTCCTTCTCCCAGCTCCCACATCTCCATGTTCCTGTGCTTGTATGTTCATCCTTCTGTTTCTCTGGTTGTGAGATGATCAGAGTTGTGTGGGCAGCATCCCTGCCTGTACTGAGGGGCTGCCCAATATTCTGGCGCCTTAATTCTCTTGAGAGCCTTTAGGCGCACCCTCAGTGCAAATCATGGTGATCATGATGATGATTAAAAGGGTTTCCCACCACTTTTCCATTCAGCCAGCAGCTGTTCATGCTGAAATGTTCTTTTCCATTCCCTTGGTTGCATCCATAGCCAGCATTGCAGACTTACCAGAGGGCAGACGAGGAAATCCAGTCACAGTGTTGGTGACATAACTGAGGAGCAGATGTTTGATTGTGCTGAGCATAAGCCATGAATAATCAATTACATAGAAAAATGCCTTTCTCAGGGTGTAACTCTTCAAGTTATTTAAAGGCCAGGAGCCTGAAAGGTGAGCTGCTGGCAGAGGAGAAGCCAGCAAGATGGCCAAGGAAGCGGGTGCTCCCTAGTGGGGGTGTAAATGTCTCTCCAGCTGGTGAATTTGTGCTGTTAAGTTCCTGAAGCCAGCCCTCAGGGACTCTGGGCCAGATGATGGGAGTGTGCTAGGCAGAGTGCCTTAAAGAATGGGAAAAGGGGAGAGGGAGAGATGCAGTGAGCAATCTTGGGCTTGCACCAAGGATCCTCCCTCCCAAATCAGGAGGAAGTGGAGAACAAAGAGCTAAAGAAATTATGTCCTGCAGCAATCACGCCTGCCCTAAGTTACCAACTGATGGCTGCGGGCACCGTGTTGCAGGGGAAACAAGAATTTGAATCTGTGACAGAAAGTGATCCACGTCTACAGAGCAGGGCTGGAGGGCAAAGTGACTGCCCAGTGCAGCACTCATCAACCAGAGCTGCAACTGGAAGCAGAAGGAGCTGGTCAGACCAGGGCAATCGGACTTGGTCTGGGATGGTGCTGCCTCTCCAAGCGGCCAGGAGGCTCCCTGAAGGCCACCACCCTGAAGTCGTCTGGCTGCTGCTGTTCTCACAGCTGTGTGGCACCACAAAGGTAGCTGATGCAGAAACCGCTTGGTTACTGGGACTGCGTGCTCACATGTGCAGGCAACATTTGGGTGACCAGTTCAGAGACAACTACTCATCCTTGGTTTAAAATTAACATTACTTCTCATTTAGGGGCAGCTAGTACCATCCGTGACTAATGGATTTGTCTGCGCAGAGAATAGCTATGGGTAGCACCAGTGCCATGTGGGATTAGACACCTGCTTTCTGTGAAATGAATTGTGAATGGGGTTTTGAGCTGTGCACGCATGCCAATCCCTGGGGAAAAGGCCACCTCCTTGCTGGGCAAGTCTTCATTATCTGTGAGACATGGCAAATGCAGGAGTGAGTCACTGCCCTCCCTGTGGGCAGGATACTGACCAAGAGGGGAGAGACGGGAGATGGGGGAAGCAAAGACAGGGTGAGGGGGATGGGGTTGTGAGAATGGAGCCTGGGTGGCTGAAGCACAGAGACACCATCACAGCATAGGACAAGATCTCAGTGGTCTCACTGTTCCCCAGGCTCTGGGAGCTGCCAGTGCCTAATGTGCTGTGCAAGTGATAAATTCATCTGAAGACTGGTTTAATAAGGAAAAATGTAACCTCGGTCCAAACCCAGATCATGTTCAACTGTGACTAAATAAGGAAACACAGTATTCCATAAATGACTGTTGCACTGAAGAGGGCAACTGCATGTACTGGTGCCACCTGACTCCCTTCAGCATCCAGAGAGGAGGCCCCAGCTGATGTTCCCAGGATATTTTCTGCCTATTTCTGTCACCAGGAGATAATCTGTATTAAGATAACGTGTTTCTTACCAGCTCTTTGCTCCTGTCATATCACACAGGCGATCTATAAGATGGTTTCATCTGTAATGAAGATGCCGGAAGATGAGTCAACACCAGAGAAGAGGACAGAGAAGATCTTCCGCCAGATGGACACCAATCGCGATGGTAGGCACCCTCCAGATGCCTCTGCCCCTGTGCTGGGTGGCTGGGGTGTCCTGCCTGCGCAGGTGACCCCTCAAACCCACCACTCCTCCTTCGGGTCCCCAGGCGAAGCCACTACGACGCACAGCCAGTGGGGTGCAGGCAGGCAGGGCTTTGCCTTCCGGGGTTGCTTTTCCCTTGAGCTCCCCCCAGGTTCCTTCCAAAGGCTCCCATGCTGCTCCAAAGGCTTGGCACATGTGCTGCGACCCACCATGTGTGCTAAGCAAACATGTTTCTTTTCTAGGAAAGCTCTCTCTGGAGGAGTTCATTCGAGGCGCCAAGAGCGATCCATCCATAGTCCGTCTCCTGCAGTGTGATCCCAGCAGCGCCGGGCAGTTCTGAACCCATTTTTGGATGAATTCTGTATCTGCTTTTTTTTTCCTTGCCAAACAACATTCATGGTAGTGTTGCCTCTGTATGGCCAATTATGCCTTCATTTGTGGCATCTTGTAGCTTCTTTTGTTGTGGATTAATTATAAGAATGCTGAATTGCTCTTAACAAGTTGTCCAGAGCACGGGCAGTACTGTTTTAAACAGATATTGTGGTGTTATAATTGTTTTAAAGATTTCATTTTGGTTTTTTTGTTTTAACGTGTCTGTTTTCGAAAGTACACGTTGAGAAGGAGTAAACCAACAACAAAGCCCTTGGCAGCAAGACACACTGACAGGGCAGCAAGACACACTGACAGATTTTAGGTTGCTGCTTTAGTCACTAAGTATTCACCCGCAGGACCCGGAAGCGTAGTAGAAGTTGTACCAAAGGGGTTGTGATGGGTTGGGTAAGATTCACCTGGAACCTCCTCCTCTCCTGTTCAGGAGGCACCAGTTGAGGTCGAAGACAGGATCAGGAGGAAGTACGAAAGTGCAGATCATGTGCGGGGTGTATCACCTGCACCTCTGCTCCAATGCCTCGTTGTTTCAATGCTGTGAACATTTTCCAGGTTGTGAAGGAGAAGGGGCAAAAACAAAGGTTGACTTTTTTTACTAGGTTTACAGTGGTTGATTTCATATGGCTTTATCTGAAAATTCAGCAATCTGCAATCCTGATCCCCAAATCCACAACTGACGATACCTCTTGCCGTTTGGGATCAGCAAAGGCAGACACACAATACGGAAAACTGGGTCTTGACAATGAATTTAAGGGAGATACATGTTGAATGTGAAGTTTTCAGGTTAGTAATAAAGCAGTTTCTACTAAGGAGAGTGGGCATTCATGTGAGGAACTCACAGACACCTGCAAGCAGCTGCAGCTGAGGCACATCTGCTGTCCTGAATGCTCTTGCACAGTATGAAGTTTTGGGGGTGTTTTTGTCTCTCTCCACATAGCTAACAGAGTTTCTGGGCCTGCTCTTAGGAGAAGGCTGTCATCAAAACTTGTTTTAAACAGAAAATTGTAGCATTTATATTTCATTTATTTAGTAAAGTTCAAAAAATCTGTACTGAAACAAGGAAATGGTACGCTTTATGGTATATTTATATATATAAAATTAAAACAAAAAAAAGATCAGCTCTTGAGAGAAATGTTGAATGTTTATCTTTTCGCCTAGATGCAGGAGTCCTGAAATTAGCTGCTGCAAAACTTTATCCTTTGGTCAAAGTTGCTGTACGCAAAGCTAATACACATACGTGGGATTTCTTAGGGACCTTATCAGCACTGCTGCAATGGAAAAGCTTTAGCGACAGGAGGCATTATGCTGACTAAATTGGCATTAATCTGTCATTAGCTAAAGTCTGCTCTGTGATCCTGTTGGAGAGGTACCCATGTTGGCAGTGCACAGCGCTGGGAATTCGTGAGCACGTTAGAATAACCCTTTGTCTGATCAGCAAGGTTGGCGCTTTGTCAAGTGACCTTGTAGATGCTAATCCCCAGTAGCCTTAATTTAAAATAAACTAAGCAAAATAAGACTGCTTTGCAGATGATGATTAGCTAAGTACTAATTAGAAGTCATGAATAAGTAGCTGAGTATGAAGAATTTTTTGTTGAATGCTAGCTAGCATGTACAATAACTGAGAGAAAAAATCCTAGACTTAACTTTTCCCTAAAAATTTGCTTTGCCAGGTGTGAAGTGCAGAGCATATTAAAATAAAATAAAACATAAATGAAACATAACATTGCTAATCGGGTGTACTAAAACTGTTATGAGTGGCTAATTACACTCAATAAATGTGTTCGGGCACACACCTTTGTCTCAAATGATGCGTGTAGGAAAATAAGAAAGCATCAAAGGCCCAGCCACAGACACAAGGATTTTTAGCTGTTACAACCATCCCTGCCAAATTTGCACCAGTTCTTCCAGCTGGTGGAAATCTTCCCTGTATCTTTCTCCTTAATATTAATTAGACATCCTGCTCACAAATCTAACCCTTCAAAGGACAGCCTGTGCCTGCCTTCTTCAAGGTAGTTTTCAGATTTATCTGGAGAGGGTCTGGCCTGTATCCATCTCCCATATCCATCACCTCATGTATATTGAAAACCATGTTCTCTCATGAGTGCTTTGAGGGCAGTTTTCCAGCAGGATGAGCGTGACCAGCCTGCTGGGAGTGCTGCACGAAGGTCGGTGGGCATGCACTGATCAGCACCCACTCTACCAGACAGGAATGACCAGTCCCACTGTCCCCGCCACTCCCAGGCGCTCCACCACCAGTGCTGCACGGGCAGGACTAGGTGACACTAGTGGAAAC